AATATTATAAAATGAATTATTAATAAATATTAATAAATTATAAGTAAATTGAAGAATAAATTTCATAAAGACTGATACAATTGTATTTCAAAATCAGCTGATAGCGAGTAGCACATGAATGTTTTTCTTATTTGTTATTAACAGGAACATCAAATGAATTAATTAATTAATTTTCTAATGATGGTGGAATTTATATTGAACCATTTATTATTGATATTTGTAATTCGAGATCTTTAGTAATGTATTGCAATAACAACCTGAGATTCTCCATTTGCATCTATTATGTAAAATAAACAAGTCTTCTTAAAAAATCTGTTTAAAATATGTTTTTCCGTCAATCAGCTGTCGCCCCTATACGAACGACAACTCTCAGAAGTTAAGAAACTTGTACGAGCTAAGGACTAACCAGGTCTCACCTTTTAGCGTGTGATTCCTTACGCTAGCCAATCAGATTTAATTGCAACCAACTGGGGAATTCATTGTTACAGCGTCGAAGTGGTCAATTACGTTTCAACGCCTGTGGAATGTACACATACGGTATTTTAATGTTTAAAATTTTCACGATGTCAAATGTCTATACCCAGCCGCATATTATCTCAGCGCGACTCTGAACAAGCAGCCTTTCCTGGGACATCACGTGCATTAAGCATGATAATGTTTTGGAGCACTCCGTTGCTTGGTTGGACAGAGTACAGTATATTAATGCCACATTGAAATGTTTTCATGTATTCTACAAAGAATGTGATAACATGCGAGATATTTTCCATTCCCTTCTCACTTGTATTCAATGGTACTAACTTCCCATCACCACCGGAATAACCAATCAAGAAATGGTTCGGGGTAAGTGAATCTGCATTGGTAGGGATAGTCGATACTCTCGTCAAAGGTCGAGAGTTAACGATCTTTCCCGTTTAGGCAAAAACAGTTTGCAGTGTTTTTTCTCGAAGACTCTGATCATGGAGAACTTTGCTAATAGTTCTTTTTACTATTCCAAACAATCTCTTTCAAGCTTCTCCCATATGAGGTGAAGAGGGAGGGATACACTTGAAAGTGACTCCTCTTCCAGACATACAATCAATTATACTGGAATGGTCCATTTTATAAATGGTTTGATGTATTTTTAAGATTTGCCTACGCCCATGGACGACAACGAAATTCAGGCAAATTTTATGACACTTCATGATTTATTACTCTACACTCTTTTGAAATAGACTCTAGATAAGATCATTGTTCAGAAGACGAGTAGATTATGGAAAGCTTAAAATTATGGCAGATTTGATAAATGATTACATACGAATTTCATAAACTTCACCTCACGATTTGATCTCCATAAACTTAATTTGAAAAATATATCACGACGTGTTTATGATCACCTCACTTCTACATCAATAATAATTTTTTTTTGGTTTTTCTAAGAAAACAAGTTCACTAATGGTGATCTATTCAAATCCAGTTGGTCATTCATTGGAATGTTTGAATTTTTAAGTTCATTAATGTCCATTGCTATGTGTGAAACTTCGAACTCTACGTTGAAGATATGATTTTTTTCTAACGAATATGTTGAACATGTTTTCTCATTTACATAGCTCATCTGATGTTCCTGGATTCTATTCCTATCGTCAAGCAAATTGCAGTAAACAGCTTTAACGTATTTTGGACAAACAATGGAGAAAGTGGTTTCTTTTTTTAGGAAACGAGATATTAAAATTGCATATAGAACAAGTAATACGTTGGGAAATTTAGTTGAAAATAATAAAGACAAAACATCCAAATTCGAGAAATCAGGAGTATATAAGTTAAACTGTGGAAGGTGTCCTAAGGTAT